GCAAGTTACGAGCTACAGACGCGTGTGCGAGAATCAGTGATAGTTCGTGATAACCAGTTATATCTGGAGTGTGTAATTCAGGGAGACTTGTATAGCTCCCGCGTTATTAATATGTGAAGACTCTTGAAGATAGTGTTAAGAGATTTTGTTGTAGGGTTTGTAAAGTGTGGAAACCCATAACATTGTGATAATTAATTGTAGCCGATATTTGTAGATTGTTCAATAAACCAATTAATGATCTCTACAGCGTATTCAGTAACGAAACACGTTACAATATATATATTATATTACACCTTAGGTTTCCCTAGCAGTGACTGTGAAGTTACCATCTTGTGATGCCGTTCAGCTGGCAGATATGTACAAAACTACATGGCAACACAACCCACAAGACAATAATCTTAAAAGTTAATTTCATCAAATACTTACTTTACAATTATTTCAATCAACAATCCAAATCGCATGCAGGGCAGAATTACCTGACCATTTCAAAAGGTATACACATTTCTCAAACATGCTGTCACTAGTCTACGTTTCGAGGCAGTGATCCATCTTTCTTTCCTTTTTAATTTTCAGCAATATTTTCACATTTGTTCTCCATAACATTATTTGAGAAAATAATTATATGTTGCTGTCAGAAAAGAAATCTTTGGCTGTAAAATCCAGTAGTACTTAAATGGATACACATAAATATGGAGTTACCAAAAGACAGCAGAAACTAATGGTTAAATTTATAAAAGTATAATGGAAATACAATTGATATTATATGGCCACAGAGCTGAAATAGAGTCTAGTTGATCAGAGAAAGGCAGAACCACTACAATAAAAACAAGAAAACTCGTTCACAAAATTAAAGAAGATAAACACCGGAATACTTACCCTATCTTGGAAGTAGAATGATGTTACAGCCACATTTGGGTCCCCTGTTGGACTCTGCGCCACAGGTGGATACATGAGAGAATACTGATTGGTGCTGCCAGCAGATGATCCACCAAGGGTGAAGCTGTTCAAGTTTCCCCCCAGTGCCGACAATGATCTGGGTGTTGGACTTTCCAAGCGTGTTGATAATCGCCTTGCAAAGGGTGGTCGTCCAAAACACACCAATATCCCTGATAAAGTAAGAGTTCAAACACACAATGCTATAAAAACAGTAGCAGCAACATCAAAAATAATTATAGTAATGATGACTTAAAACTTTCTACCAGTACAGACCACAAATAAGTGGGGAATTTCAGGAAATACAGTGTAGAGTTGATAAATTTAAAAGTCTATAAATAGAACACATCAAGAAGCCTCAATAGTCATAAAAAATAAAGAACTCAAATCACAAGCCAAAAGAAATAGTATAAAACACTGTGAGCAAACATACAAAATGGAATCAGGAGAATTCTACCATTTGATCACCTTGAAGGGAATGTATTAATGTTCATGATGTAGCTGCAGCAAAAGAGTCAGCAGGCTACCCACAGCAGAACTTCAGTTTTGGATCACTCTTGCTTTGCTTGCCACAGTTACCTATTACTCACCATGTGCTGTGGTGACCATTTTTCTATCATTACAGTATGCAGGCATCACTAGCACACTCTTCATGTGTGTCTAGTATTTGCTGAATTAGTGTTAATTAAATCTCATCTGCTATTCTTTCTTTTTCTTTTATTGAGCTCAAATTAGTCTGATGGAAGGAGTAATTAAGTGGTGTGATTGATATATGCTTGTTTTCACACACCCAGTCCATCTTGGAAAAAATGAACCCTACAAATGAATACGATGATAAAGTGGTCTGCTCATGGTACATTACATGAAGCAGATGGGGTGCAAGTAGCATATGGACCACCTGTTGTAAACACTGTAGGTATTACTCAGTTTAGCAATACAAACATCTAAAGTTGGCTGAGAAGCGGCATTTCTAATTCACAAGAGAGGCAAATTATCAACTTCAGAAAACATTAGTACCTTTGAAAAACAAGTAATTTTTTGTATTATGCATGGGGATAATAAATCACAATATATATCTCTTAATATATGTGTAGATTACCCATGTCCCAAATTGTTTCAAGTTACCTATGTAACTGAAGGGAACCAACAATTGCCAAAATGTTACCCACTTACCAACACTGCAGAATTTAGCTCCAGATGTTCGTGGAAATGGTATGTATGCATCCTGGAAACTCCCATATATGTCTGAAGGCTCAAGATACGAAGAAGACTGAGAATGGTGCAACCGTGAGAAAGGCTTCTTCTCCGATTCATCACTTAAAGCAATCTGCAAGGAATTAGTACATGATAATAATCTGAAGATGAAGATGCATGAGAGTACTGGCACAAATATTCCTACTTACCTGGTCCAAAGTTGACACAAGCTGACGCAAACATGGCTCAAGACAGGATTTATTTTTCCGCACCCTTTGCTGTGCTGTTTGTTTCAGAACCTAAGAAAAATAGTAACATATAAACTTATGGTAATGTAACATACAAATAAGACATTTATCAAAATTATAAAGAAATTAAATTAACAATAAATTTATGTCCAAGACTTCGTGGAATAATGAGCATTTCCATCTAGTTATAAGTCATTAAAACACTAATTAATATGGTAAGCTAAGATTGTAAGGGCATAGGCATAATCAAAAGTATCTGAATGAGTATTCTGTAAGTTGCATCAATCATTAACTGTTACTGCAATAAAACATGAACACAGCAACAAATGCACTTCTAAACACTGTGCATTATATTCTGAAATTGCAAGCAACAAAAGAAATATTCAATACTGCACATAACAGCACACTGATATTTCTGAACTATTATTCTCCAATACCTAGGTTCTCCGAGTGACTGAACTAATATCTCAGTATTTTCTAGTCCTTCTTCAATACTATATTCTTCAAGGGTATCTTTCTTTAATAAATTGATTAATCTCACTCAACCTTCCAAGAACTTCTCAACAGACTTCTATGTGTAAATGAAAATAATTTTTGCAACATCTCTGATTAACTTGGTGTTAAAATAACACTTCCAATTATATGAATCTCAGCTACAAATCTCTCTTCAGAAACATAACACAGTTATAATATTATACAAAATAAACCTCCTGATATGCAGTCCATCAAGCTACCAATATTCTCTTGCTAGAATCCAATGGAACTATATCCATGTATAATGAGCTGATATGTACAATGTCACTATATTACAACTACATGAGCTAATATTAGCTGGAAATACATATCTTTTGGCCAATATACTAGCAATGCCTACTATTAAAATTTAAAAACACTTCTTAACATCATCTACTGATACCACTATCACCACATTAAGCTCATAAACATTAAAATGGAAAACTATCTCTAGAATGTTCTTTAGAACACTCTAACTTACACTATAATAACAGAAGCTTCTGGCTTCATTTCCCATATTTCAAAGGGATCCTACTAATATGATGGACATTCCTATATCACTTTCTTAACCTTCTTTGGACTCAGTGCATAAAGTAAACAGACAAAGGGCACACCATTTATATACATAAATATTTAATAAGTTGCAAGGGAATATGAACTGTGGCTGTCTGCAAAGCTTCTATTGCTGGTGTTTTGTTAAAAATAGATTTCTACCTGCAATAAATGAGTATCAACAACATAACGACAGAGTACAACCATAAAGAATATACTTGGAAACCTTGCACTGCAAACTAATAACCACTTCTTCATTGGTTTTTACAAAACTGCACAGCACTATCTCAATCCTTTGCCCATTCAAATCACTAGTGGCATTGTGTCATCAGGCCTGATCTCTCCAGGCATCAGAATTTAAGTAACTTGTTTTACTACATTAGCATGGGCATAACCATTTTAATTTTACTATGTTCTACTCTGTTAGGAGAAGCAAAAGGTTAAGAGAAAGAAAATTACCTTAAGTAATTTTGCCATTGTGTTGTTATCAATAGATGTTCCATGGGCAAACTGGAACGTAGGAGCAGCATTGTAAGGGTAACTTGGAGGAAAACTAACTTGAAGGATAACAATGTGTGCATTTCTCGTGGCAGTAACCGTGCAACTCCGTCTAACTGCATCCATCTGTTGGGAGACAAACAACTAACTTCATGCTAACTGGCTTTAGCAGCGTAAGTGTTATCAAAAGATTCTAAGCCTGACCCAATAATACATAATATTAGTTGTTAAACACTACTGAAATTTATAACCTTCAAACAATATCTTTGTGACCAAATAGCTCATTTCCAATGATGCTGCCACTCCTGAAAGGATGAATGAATTCTTATTGAAAAATGATTCTGTTCCTTCATGTGTTTTCTATGATATTCATGTTGCTAAATCTTCTTCAAATTCAGTGCCCAGTCTAGGAGAGGAAGAAATCACAAGGGCCCAAATCAGGAGAAAAAGCGGCTCTGGTACAACTGGAATTTTGTGTTTTGCCAAATATTCAAGTGCAAACAAAGTTGATGTGAGGTGGATTAACATGAAGGTGCCAGGTGTAATTTTTAATCTTTCCAAATACACATCCATTCACTTTCACTGGGCACAGACACACAGCCATTCCATACCAGCCAACTAACCTATATCTTATTAACACATTGCTGACCGGCCGCATGATATCATGCTTTTCGCTTTTAAACGTGGTGGACCGGTCACATGATATAATGATTTTATGACACGTTAGGTTGCAACAGACTATACCTTGCTCTTTGCCGCGCAGCTGAATGGCTACTGAGCAATAAAACTCCGGAATGTTTGCTTAGTATTAAGTAACATGACCTCGCTGTTTTCTTAACCCTCTAATGGAAAATTCTTCTCCGATGAGATAGCTTACGTGCCTTGTGAGATGCGCAGTGATGGTGACTCAGACAGTGGCAGTGACAGGGGACAACAAAGAATTGTGGCCACAGACAGTAAAAGTGACAGTAGCTCCGACGAAAATGCAGGGACAGCAAAAAATCTAAAGAAAATCACAAAAATCTAAACCCTGATTCAAAATTGAAATACAAAGCATTTCTGATGAATGTGGCAAAGGCCTGGGCTACAGACCAGATGGTGGCGGCAGAATGAGAGTCAGACACAGACTTAGTGCGACTGGGTCCATCAACTCCCACCCCACGCAGGCCTCATGTGGACCCCCCAGGGCGACTCTCGGGTGATATGCCCACACATACCCTCGTGAAAATTCCAAGGGGAAGCATCCTTCTAGGCAATGCTGTGTTTGCATAGTTCACAAAAAAAGGAATATATCTACATTGCAAGTTCTGTGCAATGCCACTTCACAAAGGGGAATGTTTCCAGAAATATCACACTCTCAAGCACTTCTAGGAGCATTGGTAAGTGTTCTCCAAAAATTTTAGTTCATAAAATTAATTAGATTTTATATTATTTTTTAAAGTGAACAGTGCACAAGTTAGGATAGTAGGTTTAATAATGCCAGTCCCCAGGGTGATTTAAATATTTAAATCACCGGTCCGAGATGTGTTAAACAACCTAAAACATATATACTAAATGGAGCTAACCTAAAATCATTTATAAACTGAAACCTGCCTAAAGTAAAATGAAAATGTCAATTAACATACACTAGCACTGACAGCAGATAAATGATTATACTAATTAACACCATAACAGAATTAAAGAGATCATGGAAGTCAATGTGTCTCTATGCGGAAACATTCATTCATTTCCTTTATTTTCCATATATTCATATAGGTAACAAACCTAGGATGTGGAAATGGTCCCTTTGAAAATAGATATATCAAAATACATATATAAAATTACATGGGCCACATAATCAAAATCACTTACATTAATCAACTGACATAAATAATAATATAAAGTAAAATATTTAATAAGATTTTAATTAATAAACATAATTTAAAAACTACTTACTACAAAACTTGAATTAATACAATTTTATTTATATTAACTGAATTAAATAAATTACAAATTTACACACTTATGACCAATTATGTTGATAATATTCATTCATGGAATAAAAAGAATAATGATATAAAAACTTCTTTAATGTAGATTTAAAACTTCTTTCATCAGCAGCCAACATTTTTATTGTTTGAGGAAGATGATTAAAAACTTTAATACCTGATATGTACGCACCTTTATTGTATTTTGTTAGGTTAACTGCAGGTAAATATAAATTATTGATTATAAGTACCCTGCAAAACTGCTGCATCCTATTAAAAGTTATGCTGGCAACCCTAATAATACTGCTATGTGTATACTTTGCCTGATGTAACTGCATTATGAAGATGAATACAATTAAGACTTTGCTCATGAAACCAATAACCATTTCTATAATTTTATCCATCTATGCTACAAACTGGGAGGTTGCAGGTTCAATTCCCAATCAGATCACTGGAACTTTCAATTGACCTGATCCTTCCAACTGCACTATGGCTCTGGGGATGACTCAGCCTCTTACAGAAATGAGTACTAGGAATCTTTCACTGACCTCACTCCATCCGTGAGCTGATTGTCTAGAAAATGTGACAGTCTCGATGTCTCACAACCCTATAGGCCTCCATAGCCAGTTACGAGGATAGCTTTTATAATTTTATCCATATCAAACAATAGCATCTTGACATTGATTATATACATGAATATGCATTAAACTGGAATTCAGGATTTTCTTATAGTAGCAATGCATGAGTATAATCTTACCAAATCCATTTGAACATTAGGCATATTCACATTGATGAGTGAGAATTCCTGTTGGAGTGTCTTTGGCTGAGTGGGGGAAGGATTCACTTCCTTGTCTGTCGAGTTTCCAAGGCTTGCATCAGTGCCTTCATCCAGTATCAGGCTGTTTGACATGTCAGACATTCCTGATCCATTCTCTAGACTCAAATCTTGAAGAGGATGTGTCAGTGTTTGTTCCACAACTGAAAATGTGTAACCACAGATTCTTCAGTCTGGCTAAAGGCAACAAAATATCTATACCAACATTCAAAAATGATAAACTAAAATATACATTCCTATTAGAGGAAACTAACTTAGTCATATTAAATATTATATTGTGACATGCTGAGCTATGAGCCCCCCCCCCTCCGCCAGCCGTGATGCGCCGAGCGAAGCCGAAGCGAGCCGATGTTAGCCGAGTCCTAGCATCCGGGTCGCTAGGCAACGCAAGTCAACGCGGTGACGTCACCGAGGGATATCGCGGTTACTAGGCAGCCGTTAACAACTCCGGACAGCGTGGCTAGCAACAAGGGTGCCTATTACGTGGCCGTATTGTCCGATCGAGGCTACATAGGGAGCAGTGAAGGCTATTCACCGTCAGTTGTACTGAGTCAGTCAGTGAGTCCTGGAGCTACCGCCGAGTTAGCCAGCAACTAGTCAGTTGTATTCTGGCATTTGGAGTGTACTAATTGTGATACTGCAGATAGCAGTAATCGTAAATCTGTAATTTGGGTGATTGTAGGAGCGAATGTGAAATAAAAGTCGCTACATCGAATACATCGAGAATTTATTTGTCACGATATAGGCCCGATACGCGACAATATACTCCAACTCTTTGGGATATAACAAATGTTTTGGGAATTTTCCAGGAAAAAAATGCATAATAGCAGATTTTCAGGTTATAACATCAAAAGACAAAATAACGCAGATAGCAGTGTTCTTACCTTAGAAAAAATTGCTTACCCTTGCATAACTGGGATGTACAGCTACACTAATTTCATTCCTCTCAGAAATAAAATGACTTGTGAAATGCATTGATATGATTTAGAGGCACAGGCCAGGTCAAGTGGATGTGTCAACAGACAGAAGTCAATGCTTGACAGAAAAATTCTTGCAGAAATATATACTGTTAACAAGAGGATTTTCAGACACTCAAGGATGAATTCTCTTAATGCACTAAGAACCACATTCAACTAAATAATTATTGATGAAGAAACTGAATTTAAAATGTATGTCTACTCCAGCACCAAGAGAAATGTGACCTAAAACTATCTGACAAATAAGGAGGCTACCAAATAACAATTACTGAAAAATGTATAAACCAATACTCAGGAGCTTAAAAACTCATGGGCATTTCTGGAAGAGAACTAATCATGAAATCAAAAACAATAACACACAAAAAAAAAAGAAAATTTATTGACACCACCATATCCTTTGAATCAACCCCAAATAGTGAAATAGAAGTGTAACAGTTCTTAAAGCAGAGCACTTGAGAAAATGAAACATCCCTAGGGATTTTAAAAACTACTTTCCCTTGAAACAATTCAGTTAGAAATAGTTATAAATATATACAGATACAATGCTTGTGCAGGAATAACAAGTAAACACATTTCCACTTATGGATCACTTGACACATATTCAACTTATTTTGAAGGCTATCCAAAATCATTTCAGCTCCAAAGCAATTATTCTGCCATATAACTGTTTTAGTTAGGCAGTTAGTCCATGTGACTGTAAGTCTTTCTTTATGAAGTAATAGCATGAAAGATGAATATAATAGGAACCCAAAGTACAGTATGCGCCAAAAATGCAGTACCAAAACTCGCCTATCTCAAACGCGCATGTGCCTTTGTCGACAGGGTATAGCTCCAGCCGCATGTGCTCCCAGTGGTGAAAAGGAAGTTGTAGTGTGCAGCTGTTGTTGGAAATGGGTCTCTCAACAGAGGAAAAAGTATTCATAGTTGAGTATTATTTCCGCTCATACAGAAGTGGTCGCCAGATAACTTGCTTCCTTGGTTTTGGGTGGCCAGATGTTATCGTCCAGAAACCGCTACATAGTACATGTGTGACGATATGGTGTGCCGTCTCAGCACATGGTATATTAGGCCCTTACTTCATTGAGGATGAGGAAGGCAATACTCTTACCGCCACCCAAGAACCCTACAGGGACATGGTGATCGGACCATTTCTTCAGGATTTGAGAAGGTTCTGTCATGCAACAGGCGCACACATGAATAGACAATGGTATCAGCAAGACGTTTTTCATTTCAGTACTGCAATTTTGGCACACACTGTACTTGCAACTATTACAATCCCTCAAAAAAGAAACAGAACTTCACTCGCTATGTTCACACTGTGGAATATAAACAGTAGAATTCTTAGCAAAACAAAGGTGCTCTAACCAGACAGTTAAAATATCCATATCTTTCTTCCCACTCAACAAATCTGATCACCCATTAAAATACTGGATTTGAAGTTTCCACAGCAGTGAATATGAAGAGGTAGGGTCTACTGGGTTGCAAAGCCATAGTTCAGGGACAGCCCAATACTTTGGAGGTACATATTGTCTTCAGCTTCATGGTCAAAGAATAAGCCAAGCATGAAACCAACACAAGCAGGTACATACCAATAATCTATTTTCTAAAACATTTGATTAGAAGCAAGCATTTAACCAAAACATGAGAGTTAAGTTTACAAAAAGGAGTCAATTCCTGCAGCAGATTAGTCTCTGTAATATTTCTGTGCTATACTCTCTACACACCTAAGGTTGTCCTAACAGCAGCGGCATCTTCTGTTTCTTGTGAATCTATGGAATGTTCAACATCTCGTTCATGTCCACAAAGCTATATGTAAAAAAATCAGACACAAAACATCAGTCCACATGAAAATATAACTGTCAGAATGAAGTCATTCTCTTATTACATAGTAATATTCATATGCATCATAAGTGAATACCTTCTGTAGAAATGGCTCTATTCTCCATATTCGAAGACTCTGATCCTTTGACCATGTTATTAATTCATAATCCAATGTATCTGAAACAAAAATGTTTAAGGCCACATGGTCATAATTGTGAAACTGAAGTACCCATGCAAAGATGTTACTTGGCTCTGAAATACGTAAACCACTGCGATAATTTCAAAATTAGGATTGGCTTATGGAGATTAAAATAGATACTAAGTTTGACAACGTATTTTAGAAAGACTGGCAGAGACCAAAAAATTGATGTCAATTTTGTACTCCTACACAGAAGGACATAGTACGAGGCTCACTCCATCCATCTGTCAGTTTACATAAGTTCTTATGAATGACCCTAATTTAAACTTCTTCGATTTCTACAAAACCAAATAAATATCACGCTTATAAAACTATCACAAATGTACGTCAGCTGGATAAATCAGTCAAACTGCGTGCACACATGTGTATACAAATATGAGAAAAGGTCAAATAGTAAAGGAAACTGTAGTTCGCATCAAGTAATGTTTGCAGCTCTACAAAACATGGCACACACAAATAATGTGATGTAATGGCTGAAACCTGGAATAGAGGAGGGAAAAAAAGGTGGCTGCTGCTAGGCAACAACCTGTAAACAATGACTATGATGAAGGGTTTCCTATGGGGTCACTTGAAAGAATTGTGGGACAGCAGCCAGCTGGAAATGACATAAGCATGGAAGCTGAAGAATCTTAGTAGCTGGGTGCTGTTACCAAGCAATGAAGACAAAGAAGATTTTATGTGTGCTGTAGTTATAGTGGTCTTTAGTGTGTGTAAACCACAAAGAGTATTATAATGATTTGCAGTTATGAGTGACAGGTGTTCAATAAATCCAATAAGCCTTCCAAACCCCATGTCTAGTCACTAACATGTAACAATAATATGAACTATCCCTCATTTTCACACAGACTGTTTTCACTATCTTTTAAGTAGTAATAATTGTGAAACATGTTTAACATGTCCATTGGCATATGTGGGAACTGACTACTGTATTAAAAGAACACATCAGAGAAGAATAACAATCTGTGGTAAGATGCAAAACTAGTGAAAGTTGCAGAAGAATTATAGTTCAATATGGTGATAACTACAAGAGCTAGAGGAAAGTTTAAAAATCTGTAGAATTTTCCAAAAGAGGGATGATGGGCATTCTGGGAGGCCACCGAATATTGTATGAGGTTTAGAAGCTCAACTGGCATACTCCAGCAACTGAAGAATCAGCACTCATGAAATGTAATTTTAAATGAGCAAATAAGAGTTAGTCGCCTTGATATTCTCCCACCAAAAACTGCCACAACCAATACTCTAACCATCCCCCTCCCCCCAAAATACATCAACATTTTCTTTGCCAGTCATGGAGAAGACCCAATTAAGAATATTTTGTTCTGACAGAATGAGGTATTTTTGGACCATAAGGACAGGATAAAATGCAAGCAAAGGCATGTTGATTACACAGAAAAGTGAGATATGTAACACCAATGGGAATTTCATTGTAAAACTTCCATCAGGACTTATCATATATACAAGGTGTGTCCCAAAAGTCATGAAATATATATATATTTTAAATTTATTGATGGTATCGGTACAAAGTGTTAATATTCATCAAAGTACTGTCCATGAGCATCTACACATTTTTTCCACAGACTCTCCCACGCCCGGTATGCCCCCTCAAAGGCCTCGACGGGAACCTCATTTAAAGCTGTTGTTACGACCGCTTGGATAGCCCGAATGCTTTCAAAACGGCGTCCTTTGAGTGCAGTCTTGATCCTCAGGAACAAAAAGAAGTTGGCCAGAGCTAGGGAGGGGCTGTGGGGTGGCTGCGGCAGCGTTGCCACGTGGTGCTTCACCAGGAACTCATGGACGAGCAGAGACATGTGGCTGGGCGCATTGTCATGATGCAGCCACCAGTTAGCGGCGATGTCTTTTCACATGTGGATGACCCTTTTCCTTAATCTTTCTAGAACATCCACGTAGTAGGGAGCGTTGACGGTCTGTACTTGGGGTAAAAACTCTTTGTGGACCACACCCTCGGCATCGAAAAAGACGATGAGCATTGTTTCCACTTTGAATTTACTCATCTTTGCCTTCTTCGGTTTCGGGGAAGGCAAGGTGTGAGCAGACTCCCCATAAGCTTGCTTAAGCAGTTCGTGAGTTTCGGCAGCTTTTTGGTTGAGCTTTGTGCAGAACTTGACCGCCCAATGTTGTTCGAAAGTANGATTTGCTCATCTTTGCCTTCTTCGGTTTTGGGGAAGGCAAGGTGTGAGCAGACTCCCCATAAGCTTGCTTACGCAGTTCGTGAGTTTCGGCAGCTTTTTTGTTGAGCTTTGTGCAGAACTTGACTGCCCAATGTTGTTCGAAAGTATCCGCCATCGCGCGCCGTGACGTGCTCACAAAACACAGNGTGGACCACACCCTCGGCATCGAAAAAGACGATGAGCATTGTTTCCACTTTGAATTTACTCATCTTTGCCTTCTTCGGTTTCGGGGAAGGCAAGGTGTGAGCAGACTCCCCATAAGCTTGCTTAAGCAGTTCGTGAGTTTCGGCAGCTTTTTGGTTGAGCTTTGTGCAGAACTTGACCGCCCAATGTTGTTCGAAAGTACCCGCCATCGCGCGCCGTGACGTGCTCACAAAACACAGGTGCACTAAATCAGCGATACTGACGCCTCTGATGCTCAAGCAGACTGACCTTGGGTGCGCTGTGAAGCTAAAGGCCTCCCCCGCCAACCCAACTGGTTCCAGCGCGGTCCGACCAGTAGGAGCGCGGGAAAGAAATATATTTCATGACTTTTGGGACACACCTTGTACATACATCTTCGTGCACAGATACAATTTCATTTTGATATACAACTTCATACATAAGGAACATTGATTTATCAAATAATCTGACAGGTCAATTAATATGTACTTAAATTCTTCACTTTCAAGGTGTGGAAGGTAAAATTTAGCTTAAACATATTACACTAGAATTTTATTTCACAGTGTATGGATGTCCTGCAGGTGGTAATTCTAGCTTTCAGTCTCTGTCAATGCCCCACATCAGAAAAGTCATCTGCCCTGCTACTGTTTCTACCCACTAACTCTACACTAACACACCAACATTCAAACACTCTGGCTGGACAACTATGTGGAATATTAACTATAAGAATGTTAGGGGTTTAAATTACTTACCATCTTCTGGAATTATGGATATGTAATCAGACCATCTGAAAATGGAGTTAAAAGGGTAGAAAGCATGCATGCCTCCTAATTAGTGCTGCAATTGAATAATGAACCAAAGTGAGCAATACATAACATGCATCCCATATATCATACACTTGTTAACAGTAAGAACTGAAGAACACAAGCAAGCTAACTGTAATTACGCTGTTATTATTCATAAACATGCCTCCATGTTCACTGCAATAACTAACAATACTTCAGCACAAAGCTTGTTCCTGCATACAAAGAACAGGAACAAATAAATTAGCAGAGTGGATTCTGTCTAGGTTAAGAAAAATCAACAATGCAATGACATGGGCTATGCCAAAGTTCATGCGTTTAGCTCCCAGCTTCCCACCATGGTAGCCCATATTGAATCCCAGGACAAGTCATGTCAGATTTCTGGTGAACAAAGTAGCACTGGGACCACTTATCTCCAAGTACTTCAATTCCCCTTGCTTCACTCTACCAAATGCTCCACATTTATATAGTCTTGACATCATCCTTAAATACTCAGCTTAAAAAAACAATAACAAGCACTGCCTTTCTAGCAATGTCAAATAAGGGTAATACTCAGAAAAGCTACAGATATGGTCTGATTACATTTTGTTCAAAAGCCAAATAGTGCAATGAAACTGTTTCTCTTTTATTATTTTCATGAGTGTTATTAAGATGATATGAATCATACAGAAGTTCACATAATTAAAATACTCACCTAATATTTCACAGGCACAATCTCTGTAATAATGACAGTATGGAAACCCCATTATTTCGATGCAGGCAGAAAGGTGACAGATAAATCAGTGAACTATATTTCCACGAAGTGGTGAATGAGCACATATTAACGCTTGAACTTTGAACTCAATTATAAATCTGTTTGACAAATGTCAAACCAAACTAAACATTTCCCTTGCCATTTGCAGGACACAGGGCAATCATCCTGATCTGCCATAACAGTCCACCTCCTCCTCCCACCACTGTCATTAATACCACCACCAACTGTTATCAGGGCAGACTGACAAACCAACAATGCACAAATTCATGGTTAGCTAGCATCTAGTTTGAATCCTGGCTATCCAGAAAAAAGTCTTTATGATTTTCCTACCTCTCTCAAGACAATTTCTGGGATAGCTCTATGTAACAGGCAACCAGTGCTTCCCACAACCTAACATGTGATTAATCATTCATAATGATACTACCAATTCCGATTCAACAATACATAGCTTCAGACTCTGATACAGCATCATAAAATAACCACCTTATCATCACCTCTACTAGATGTAATATACTTTACCTTCCCATACCAATCCAAATGATTACTGAAACATCCATCATATTATGCAAACCTTCCATTCCTTTGATTTCTTGGCCAAAGAGCTGCTGTCAACATCGCTGGCACTTGCATGCATTCTTAAGAAGTTATAATAAATACTCACCCTCTCTGTGTTTTCTCCATTCAAACTCAAGTACAACATCTGTGTGCCCTACAAATGTGTGAACTGGAGATGTATGATTTGCAATATTCCATAGCAGGAGGCTATTTTCTCCTCTTCGTAACTGTGGGACAACCACCGTAATCAAACCTTCACCAAACGGCTGTAAAGACAGTCATCGCGTACTGTGATTAGACAGGATAAGAATTAAGGCAGAAAATCTTTACATATTTCTCAGTGTTAATATAGACCATATACGAGGGGGGACCCAAAAATAACTGGAATTTATTTTTGTTATTTTTTATTTTTGCATTTTTATTGAACTGTATATTAGTCCCCTTCAAAGTATTGTCCATGTGCATTAATGCACTTGTCCCAATGCTTTTGCCACTGCTCAAAACAGTGCTGGAATTCTTGAGGCTGGATACTGTTCAAAGCCTTTAGCGTGTTTTCTTTGACTTCATCCACATCACGGAATCGCTTTCCTTTCAGACTTCTCTTCATCCGTGGAAACAAAAAAAA